CGTGGAGAATTGAAAAGATATAATATGTGAGGCAGCGTGGTAGAATCAGGCTCTCGTCAATTTTTGGGCATGTAGAGTTATTGGTGTCATCTTAAACCTTGTTCACTTGTCTTTATTCCAATGAAAAAAATACCCATCCATCTTCAATAGACGTGGGGATATTTTGGATTGAAGGAGGTGGGGGTAACCTGATTTAAGAGGTAAAATTATTAGCGAGAAAATGGCCTCCAAAGCTTGGTAAATTCCAAAGCTGGAGAGTCCATAGAAACTGTAAATTTATATTTTTGTGCCTTTAATCAACGTTTTCGGTGAAATCCCCAAAAAAGGAATGTGTTTGTAAATAGACATAAAATGTGCTGAGTCAAAAAACAAAAATTTGATAAAAATTGCTAAGCAAGGAGAAAACTGCTGTTTTCTTCAATTTCATTATTTTGACGAGAGTCTGATTCCACCACGCTGCCTCACATATTATATTGTTATAATATGTAAGAGATAGAGACATGAGCCAGAGAAAGGTCACTAAAGCGCAGAGGGTTACAGCAAACCGGAACATAAATTCTGGGCAATGGTTTTAATGATAAAAGATATAAAATGTATTTTGTATGTAAGAGACTGAGACATGGGCCAGAGAGAGGCCACAGAGATGCAGAGGAAACGCAAACTGGAACATCTGGGAAATGGTTTTAAAGGTGGGGGGTCCCACAAACGAGCTAACTCCTTTATTTCTGGAACAAAAGAGGGAGGGGTGAAAAGATATAAGATATATGTGAGGCATCGTGGTGGAATCAGGCTCTCGTCAAAATAATCAAAGTGAAGAAACTTGCATTTTTCTGCGGATTTGTGAATTTTAATCAAATAATAGTTGTTTTTGGGCTCAACACCCTTCATGTTCAGTAAAAAAACTCATTTCTGTGTGGATTTATCTGAAAAACGTTGATTAAAGGCACAAAAGATGTAAATTTTCAGTTACCACGAACTCTTAAGCTAAGGAAATAACCAATCTTTGGTGGCCATTTTCCGACTAATTTTACTTTTGAAAACAGGTGACCCATTCTCCTTCATTATCAAATATCTCGACTTGTATTCAAGATAAATGGATATTTTTTTCACCCAAATAAAGACAAGTGAGTAAGCTTTAGGGTGATACTAATAACTCTACATGCCAAAAAAAATTGACGAGAGCCTGCTTCCACCACGCTGCCTCCCTCATGATGTATGTAAGAGATAGAGACATGAGCCAGACAGGGGCCACACGGGCGCAGAGGGTTACAGCAAACCGGAACATCTGGACAGTGGTTTTGATAATGAAAGATATATAAGATATGCGATATGTTTAAGAGATGGAGTGGCCTCGGTGGCCCAGTGGTTAGGCTACCGGACTCTTAATCGTGGGATGGCGGGTTCGGGGGTTCGAGCCTCAGCTCAGTCCAACGTTGTGTTTTTGGGAAAGGAACTTTACACGAATTTCCCTCTTGGCTCGGTCCTTTCGGAGACGGACGTTAAACTAGGAGGTCCGGCCTCTTAAATGACCTAATAGTGTTGATAGGGGCGTTAAACCCCTACCATTTCACGATTTTAAGAGACAGAGACATGAGCCAGAGAGAGGCCACAGAGATGCAGACGCAAACTGGAACATCTGGGAAATGGTTTTAAGGGGGGGGGGGTCCCACAAGCGAGCTAACTCCTTTATTTCTGGGTGAAAAGATATAAGATATATGTGAGGCAGCGTGGTGGAATCAGGCTCTCGTTAAAATAATCATAGTGAAGAAACTTGCATTTTTCCGCAGGTTTTTATCAATTTTTTATTTTTTGGCTCATTAAAGAACTCATTTCCGTGTGAATTTTTCTGAAAAACGTTGATTAAGGCACAAAAATGTAAATTTTCAGTTACCACGAAGTCTTTAGCTAAGGAACTAACCAATCTTTGGTGGCCATTTTCCGACTAATTTTACCTTTGAAAACAGGTGACCCCAACTCCTTCAGTCTCAAATATCTCGACTTGTATTCAAGATAAATGGATATTTTTTTTCACCCAAATAAAGACAAGTGAGTAAGCTTTAGGGTGATACTAATAACTCTACATGCCAAAAAAAATTGACGAGAGCCTGCTTCCACCAC